TTGTAATTTAACTGCTGGGTGCGGATATATATTGGAATTGTATAATGTGAAAATATTCTCAATGGAACGCGGCACAATACCAGGATTAACGTCATCGCCTACAGAAACAATTATTTTTATACAAATCATATAATTTTACTTTAATTGAAGTTTACCTAAAAGTGTAAAAGTCTTTCCGGAACCAGATGTACCATAAGTCAGCACTGTGAAACTTTCCTCCAATTTTATTTTGTCACCTATACACTTATTGTATACGCCCTTTTGACTATCATTATTATCGAATATTGCGCTGAAGGTAAAATGTTTTTCCATTGCTGCTTTATTGTTACTTGTCGTTGTTTGATCTAAACGTGGGTTCACCACAAGAGTATTTCCATTGCCTGCAATTTTATATGACGATGAAGGAGAATTAACAGGACGCAGTCGTAGATACACCATGGCCCCATCTTCTCCAATAGTACTTGTTTTCGATATGTCACCACTTACAGTACTAGCATCATCAAAATTTGAATTACTATCATCATCTAATTCATCTATATTATCTATATCAATTGCTTTGAATATATTCTTCGGACATGGACGAAATCGACGATCTATGCTTGGCTCGCGTCCATTAATGAACGAGAGCACGTTGCGTTTTGTGGTGTCTTCGTTTCTGGACATTTTTTCCTTATTATAACAAACAAAAACATAAAAAACAATAACAGAAAAATATTTCGAAGCACTAAATTTAAGTTTGTTTAAGTATTGTTTATTTCTCCCGGAAAATTAACGAACTTGCTTCCAAACACAATATTGGTTAAAATGGCAGCTTTGTCAACAGTTAATGAATGATTTTTAAAATGTCCGCGGCGATAGCGAAATCAATATTATCCAATGTACAATGAAAGCCGCTGTAATATTTGTAAGCGATGCTGTGTTTATAAAATTAAATTTATTTAAAATTTAAATATTGTGTAGCGTAACATTATTAAACCACTATATTATTGTTAATAAACATCCTAAACTTCGGCTAAATGATTAAAATATTAAAGCTAAAAATGTGTGCCAAATACAATGTATAATGTCTCAGTATTTAACATAGCAAAATAACATGTCTTCAAACGTAACGATTAATTAAACTCGGATTGTCGAATCATCGAATTAAAAGTAGAAATAACGAGATTATATAAATATTTAAAGTAGTATAAATTGTACAAGTAAAATGCAATGAATAATTCGGGCCTGATATATACTGAAATAATTTATATACATACAACAGCTGATTGAGAGCAATAACATAGCAAAGCGAAGCGAAAAACGTGGATATACATATGACATCAGCTGATTGAGAGTAATAAGATCGCAAAGAAAATTAACATCGGAATAAGAATTTTTATATCATCGCGTTCAGATTAATATTCTTACTTACATTTTATATTATGTTTTGTATATATTAAAAACGATTTGATTTCTTGAATATACATATTTATTTTTGTATGTGTGTGTATTAGTACTCCGTTTTCCGTTTTTGTCTATTTCGTTCCTATTAAATACGCAGGTTTGATTGGTTGTGCATTTCGCATCGAATTAATTTCTTACGTTATCTACCGTCTAACTGAACCTTTACTCGTATATTTTAATTCAAGTAAAATTTGTGTTGATGTATGAATCAGTTGTTTTGGTTTGAATTTATTTTGTATTGTTTATTTGCGAGGTACTGGTCTTCTCACCAGACTTTACACAAAAGATGTTCCATGAAAATCTGTGTAAAGAGTGAAATTTGGCACTTTATTTGTGTTACGCTAAGATATACAAAAACAACATTTACACAAAACAAATTGTTCCAATGTAAGACTATAGTCTTACATTATTTTTAGGTCTTTAGGCGTGGTCGACAAGTCGGTAAAGTGTATGTTATGTGTATTTTATGTGCATTTGTTTTTAAGAGGCCATAATATTACCGAGAGGCGTTCAGACGCTTTTATCATTCTCGCTCTATAACCGTGGCTTTCGTGGCCCCTATCGCAGAGTCTACAATTAAACTATACCTGCGTTTGTGAAATTACTCCACTCCCTTCATCTACCATCCTTCCCCTTGTACCGCGCGCATATCTTCTGGTTTAAATAAACGTGGATTTATAAATGCTGAACCTTTTTATATAATTTCTTATCCCTAATTGCTGGAAGAAGTTCTATACCTAGCCTTCCGGAATAGTGATGGAAATTTTCTACATTCATTCCGAAAATCTAATTCTACTCGGTTAAAGTCTCACACTATGGTTATCGATACTTTCCACCTACCGCAAAAAAAAGCAAACGAAATTAACTTCTTTTATAGTTTCACTTTATAATTTTACCGAGAAAGATTTATAAATGGATGTTTAGGTGATTGTCAATTTATCACTGTACGAAATGCTAAATAACCGAGAATTATCTAAATAACCTTGTCATATTTATTTAATAAACAAGAATTATTTATGTTACTACCAAACCACGTTTTGCTTATATCTTCAGAAAAATGTTTATACACAGACTATCTTAAAAATTAATTTTACCCTGGAGAGTTTGTTCGTCTGGTCTGTCCTTTTAAAGGGCTTAGCAATACTGAATGCTTTCGAATGTTTAACTTTAATGTGAAAATTTAATTTTTAAAGAGCATTGAAACTATGCAACTAATTTGCATATTAACGCGGTGTTAATTGTTTTTAATTACACTAATTCCTTTAGTTCCGCAAAATGCTAATGTATGTCTGTTTTCACACCTGTGGGAGAAGTAATTCGCATTAGGAGTCCTACGGAAAGCGTATAAAAGGAGTTGTGCGAACTGAATCCATTTCAGTTCTATTTCAATTGTTAAACTAATTTTCAATCGCGAAATGTTGGGTTTCGGTAAAGAAAATAATAAAAGTAATAAGAAAAGTGTCAGTTTATCTCTGCCAAATCCGCATTTTTTCTTAACAATACCGAAACACCGTGGCAGTCTTGCTTCTGAGGCTTTATCGGATGTTCCAAGTGATATTATTATAAAATCGCGTATCAAATATGGAAGCCGTTGGTCTGCTTGCAAAGGTTTACTCATGGAGTACTCCAAAAGTACTACAATACATGGAATACGTTACATTTTTGAAGTTCATCGTCCATTTTATGAGAAGTACGTGAACGCTTAGTGAGAATATCGGCAAAATATATATGGAGAGATTATAAAATTAGTGAACTTAATTTTTAAATTTTAGATTATATTGGTTTTTCTTGATTTCTATATCTCTGTATTATGCTGTTTCGCTTATGTGGGATACTTATTTGAAATGGCAAGATTCTCCAGTTATATTGGGTTTTGATGAAACTCTGGTGCCAGTACATAAAATACCATTTCCTACAATTACAGTTTGTCCTGAAATAAAAACGGATGCGAATACTTTTAATTTTGCAAACGTCTCAAAAAAATTTTGGGATGAAATTGCTGAAACAAATTCATTTCATAATCAACAAAATCTCACAGACGAAGAGTAAGTACTTTTATTGGAGAATATATTTTTTATTTAAATTCCTTTCAGAGTTAGAAATAAGTAACTAATTTTTTTGGGTTCTGATGAGAAAAATTTTAACAAAATCGTTAAAAATTTATTATAATTAATAAAAATAATTTAGCATGGATTGTCTATGGGAGTTTAGTTGTAGTTGTAGGCTAGTAAATATCCTTCCACTATCCTTAAAAAGTGATTATTCCCCTTCAAAAAGTGATTATTCCCCTTCAAAAAGAAAAATGAGTTTTTTCGTCGTTACCGATAGTCTGACAAGCTAACATTTTTTTTACTTTAGAAAAAATCTATATTTTCTGGAGGTAAAAGTAGAATAGTCATAGAGAAGATAGTTCCTGATTGATTCTTTTTCCTGTAAGTTTTAACGACTTCTAAAATGAGTACGAGTATTAGGAGTAATGCACAGTTTCTCTATGTGGATTTCTTTGCACCAGAAAGAACAAAGAGGGCTGCAAGTAGCCCATCAGTATTACTTTGGACAGTTTTCGAATGGTCTATAAGGGCATGATATTTTTAAATATAATTTTCATAACAAGAGAAAATATTTTGAAATGACGGTTCAATATGCTTAAAAATTAACTTTTGAGTAATTAAATAATAATTTTTAATTAATTAGTAATTAATAATATAATTTTAGATCATTGGTACTTTCATCTGATTTAAAAATAATACATATTTGTATTACATATTTGTATGATTTTTTACAGAGTGACAAAAAGTAGTACTATGTGGCATATTTGTTGTCAGGATATATTCTGTCACATTTTGAGTTTCATTTTTACATCTTTATATAGGACAGTGTTAAAATTAGAAAGGATTTCTTATTCTTCTATATTTGTAGTCGGGATAATCGCATCGTCTTTGTCAGTAGATCCACTCAGAAATAGATCTTCTATTGTTTATGTATTTGAGATTCAATTTTACCTCTTTATATGGGACAATGTTAAAATTAGAAAGGATTTCTTATTCTTCTATATTTGTAGTCGGGATAATCGCATCGTCTTTGTCGGTAGACGAACTCTGGAATGGGTCCCCTGTTATTTATGTATTTGAAATTCAATTTTACCTCTTTATATAGGACAGTGTCAAAATTAGGAAGGATTTCTTATTCTTCAATATTTGTAGTCAGGATAATCGTATCATATTTGTCGGTAAATGAAGTCAAGAATGGGTTTCCTGTTGTTTATGTATTTAAAAGTGGAATATAAAAATGGATGGATGCTACATTCCTATATTCAAGATTGGAATATAGAAATGAAAGGATGAAACTTGGTGGAAATTGTAGTGATTAATATTAACATTACTTATTATATATTATCGCAGCTGCAGATATGTAATTATACAATATATCATTTGTTTAACATATCATAATGTATTTAGATTTTTATTTTATATTTATTTTTAGTTTTTGCATTTCTTTGGTGGTATGTTTAGACTTTTGTGCTTAATTCGAAAAAGGGGCATTACCACATGTCCTATTTTTTATACAAAATTCATACAAAAATGCATTAATAAGTTTAATAAGTCTAAGTTTAAACATAATATAATTTCATTAAATATTTCTTTCATTTAATTATTGTCAAATATTGTATATATTTAATATATACATTTAATAATAAAACAACTTTAAATTTAATTTCTTAAACAATAGAATTTTGAATTTAGCTGCTACTTTACATATCTGCGACACCCAAGTAGCCGAATCTTTTGCTCCATTTGTGCCAAAAGACATTTTACCGGATGTATCGCAAACACTGGTTGATTTATCCATAACAAAAAATGAAACCGGCCCGTTTTGTAAATGGAATGGAAGATTCTATTTTTGTGATAAAATTTTTAATTTTGTACCAACGGATGAGGGCATTTGCTATCAATTCAATGGTTTGCAAGCAAAGGATATATATCGCGATGAAAGGTACTTGCCATTAAATATTTTAATATTTTAAAATTTCAATATATAAATGAATAATAGATTTGTAAGTTATCGAGACCCAGAAATAGTCGATTTTAACAATTACTTCGATCCATTGCCCAAATACAATAACATATCTGGAAATTGGTCACTAGATGATGGTTACATAGATCAGGGATACAATTCTTATCCACAACGCACTGCTTTCTCTTCTGTTCGTAATGCATTTTTTGCGTTCCTTCAAGGCTATGAACATAATTTTGATTACGCATGCCGCAGTTTTAGGCAGGGCTACAAGGTTTGTATCTGCGCATACGTAGGTGTTAAGTATAACATAATAAATTTTATTTTAAAACAAATAATTTGAATTCAGGTGTTCCTTAATTCTCCCGAGAGTGTGCCACTTACTATGGGCAACTACATTTTAGTGCCGCATGGAGATGAGGTCATGGTTAGTGTGCTGCCCCAATATGTTGTATCAACGGAAAATTTACATGATTTCAGTCCAGAAAAGTAAGTAAAATAATTATTTGGAATAATAAAATTTAAAACCGTACATAGTGAAGAGTAAAATTAAATTAAATTAAAGTTAAACTTAATTAAATTAATCAATTCAAGAATCTTAAAATACCTAAGCTTTTATATTATGTAGTATAACTGAATATAGTCAGTTAAATTCTGTTCTTCAAAGAAAAGAAAAAAATTTAAAAAACATTTAGTTAAAATTAGGGGACTTTATATAAAAAAAATTAATAATAATAATATTAAACAAAATTTTAAAAAAACCTTTAGTATGTAACACGAATAAATATTAGATTGATAAGTTCTGATAAATAATACAACAATTCTTTTCTCTATCCATGTACGCCTGCTTTCTATTTCATTTAATCTTTTTTATATATATAATATATATATTTTCATATTATATATATCTTTTAACGGTAAGGACTCCCCTTTGTAGCTTTTTCTAAACGAATTTTCGATCATACCAGATCATAACAGTGATATACCGGATTTTACATTTCAATGTCTCGAATTGAGAAAAAGGCATTAATGCTTATAAATTGTAGGAAATATTCTCATGAGATCAATAAGGTCAAAAAAAAAACAGAAAAAGGTCTCTAATAAAATATTGCTTTGTAACAGAAAGAACTTAATGCTGTTATGAAACTCTAAGTAACCGTCAAACTAGGGAACTGGTACATCTGTAAAACTATTGTAAGATATACAGATATTGAGGTTATCTGACGCAAAATCATGATCTGTGTTATTATTTAAACAAAATGGATCTGTTTAGCTGTTTGAAACAAAATGTCGATGAAATGTCTCGGATGAAAACGGATGAGACCTCCAGTTACATTTTCTGTGACTGTTCGGTTTTGATCAGGGCCAGGAGAAGATTATTAGGCTGGAAATTCTATTTTCATGTTACGTTAAGATGTTCTCAACAACTGATATTTTATCTTTTATTAGAAGTGCGAAATGTTGTCTATTCAGTTAGGATGTGTTAGATCAGTCATGGTCGTAGTGCTCTAATTCACTTCCTGCCAGTATTTCACATATTTTATATACTTCTATACTAAATACTTTTTATGTTTAATTTTGAATAATAAAATAGATTTCTTCATTTCTTAATAATATTTTAAATTTCTACAAAAGACGTCAATGTTTCTTTAACGATGAACGTTACCTTCGTTTCTTCCGTGCCTATTCTCAAAGTAATTGTCAAACTGAGTGTCTCGCAAACTTTACGATATCAAAATGTGGATGTGCGAAATTTTGGATGCCAAGTAAATAACCAACAAATCATTGATTACATAACTAATTAGAATTAATAAAATATTTTATTTAATTTTTAGAACCTTTAGACGTGCCAGTTTGTGGTGCGGCTGATATTATGTGCTATAATAAAGCACAAGATGAATTAAATCTGATCTTACAAAATCAAACAATGCAAAAAACTATGGATGCTAATGTGAAGATTATGTGTGACTGTATGCCTGCCTGTACGTCTCTGGAATATAATTTTGAAATCTCTCGATCTCATTATAATCTAGAGAAAACAATTCGCGCTTTTCGGGAAGTATATGAGCATTCAGAGTAAGTTTTCTTATTCATAAAATTGAAACCAGTAATTGAATTCTAAATTTACTCAATAGTTTTATGGGTTCACGTTTGTCAGTTTATTTTAAGGAGCATCAATTCACTGCAATTAAACGTACTGTCATATTTAGCATCACTACTCTTATAGCGAACTGTGGTGGTATTTTTGGTCTCTTTATGGGCATATCCGGATTAAGTATAATTGAACTGGCTTACTTCTTCTCAGTACGCTTATTTGATAATTTACGTAAACGGCGTATGAGTAAGAAGAAGTTATTACAACAAGAAGAGGAACATGAGAACTAGATACAGTACCGGAAGTAGTGACAGAAGTAAAAAATCTTTTTTCATGTTAGGGTACACATAGTCTACCTGGCATCGTGGTATATCCACAATTCGCTTATGTATAGATGTTCAACGCCATATAAAATTTATGTCCACTAATATCTTTATATTTATCCATGCAATCTTTAATGACGTATCATCTATGAGTTGTATACTATAAATAAAAAAAAACAAATACCATTTATTAAAGTAAGGAGAGAGTGAAAGCGTAAAGCCCTTCTCTATTCAAAATTAATGTTATATAAAAGATAAATATATGTGTTAGTAAGTTGAATTTTAAAAAGCTATCCCCTGAACTTTCATTTTCGATTTTGTGGTTGGCGTTTGAGATCTATATAAAAGTTATATGTGGTATCACTTTACATTGATATAGTTGTATGTAGTAGAGAATATAATTAATTTTAAAATATTGAAACCTAAATAATTGTTAAATTTGAAATAAAGAGTTTATAAATTATTAAAATTAATTTTAATCTTAAAAGTAAACAGATATTTCAAAGTGTTTGTAATTGTTTCAATCCATCTATTGATTATCTATTATGCCAATTAAAACCTAAATTTTTTGAAGAGTCTGTAATTTTGGTTAATTGTTTTTATTAATAAGTTGAACTTTTGGCAACGGTGGTGAACCTTTAATATACGTGAAACCTATGGACATTTCTTATTAGTATAGCACGTACGGCCTTATACAAACATAAGGAGCCTTTAATTTTGACACTCTGGTTACTGGAAAATAGTCAAGTAACTTGCACTGCACAAAGAAATTCTTTGAATTTACATTCTTTGAAAAAAAGCAATTACTGGCTCAGACAAAAATATTTTTTTTTAAATTTTTGTACTTTTTTGTAGAACTAATAGTAAACTTCAATAAGTAAACGCGAACAAGCTACAAGGTCCTATACATTTATGCACTTCCTCATTCCTCATTTCTAACAACCCTCCTCTACTCACCATACTTTCACCTCACTGCATCGTAATCCACGTATTCATATTTTCATTCCTTTCATGTTTCCTGCTTTATAAATATCCATAAGACACAACAACAGCTTTTTCCTGTGTGTTATCCCATTGTTTAAAAGAGTGACGACATAAAGAATACTTGTTACTGTCGCCATCTATTGTGCGGTCCTATTGTTTGTGAGAGTGATGACATAAAGAACGTTTCTTTTTATCACCGACTAGTAAGTACCGACAATTCACAATATATTCATCCTTTAAACAATTTTGTGGTTGTGGTACCTCAAGAAGATCTATACTATATAGTAAAAGATATGAAAGGAAGTACAAATATGGATTATGTGGGGGGTTGAATTAAAAATGTTTACTTTGTATAATGAATGAATGAGAAATATATCGGTTTATTTAATTGAAATAAGCGTGGGTCGAGGCGATTAACTACTTCAACATACTACTTCGGATCCAAAGTTCAATACTGTTCAAATTGATGTGCGCAAAACATGAGAACAGTTGAGTGACATAATAGGTGGACGGCTTTTATTCTCAATGACTAGAGGCTGCAGTTGGAGTATATATTGAGAATTCACGTATTTATACTTGACACTTGCGGCTGCTTTTATCAGA